AATAAAATAATCATACAGTCTGTAGACTATAGGTAAAGACTATTATGGGAGAATTTACCAAGTAACATAACCTCAATTATACAAAATCGACTTTGTGGATTCCAATGACGGGTGCAGATTCCTTTTAATTTGATATATGAACTAAATCCTTGAAGGAGAGTCCTTCTTAAGAAGCTAATTATCGCTTAATTAGTCAATAAACTGCCCGGTGACTTAATTAAGTCTAAGTATATAGGCCTATTTCATTTTCCTCCTAACATTATGCCTCATGAAATTTCCCAATTCAGAAATACTTCTTACATTATTAATCCTTTCAGACACTTGGTGGGAATTCTTGGACGGGTGATAAACCCGATCTACACAGGACAGCAGAATAGACGAGGACACACATCCAAGCCTCGAGTGGGGTTCTAACCCATGATCCACGTGTTCGAGCAGCCTTATGTAGCGCATACAATCGGAAATGGAGCATGAGAGAAGACGGACAGACCCCACCCTCCCACCAAATAGGCCTCTATTTTATGCTGTTCTTGCAAGAATGAATTCAAATTGGCACGATGACCTTCAGGAATTTCAAGCAGGCTCGAACGACATTTTCTGGTGAACATTTCACTTTGTGCATCATCGACACATTCTTCTCGAGTGTCATCGGAAACAAGAAAAACCACTGTCACTGGTGTCACTGACTTCGATCGCAAGGATATTGTTTGTTGATGACTGCATTGCGAAACAAAAATATTTATTTTCTGTCAATGGCATTCAATTATGCGTCCTGTGAGGTCGCTGAAGTCTTCGAAAGGCAAATGGAATGGCGTAGTCCCCCAGTAGCAACTTATGTTGAATTAATATCGTCACAGCAAGAATTAAGACTGGACGACCTGGAATCCATTCCCTGCAAGGACACGGATTTCCTTCTTCACCACAAAATTTACACCAACTATGGGGTCCATCCATCTCCCATCGAATGGTACCAGGGTACTTTCCCTAGACCTAGAGCAGCCGGAGCGTAAAGCTGACACACATTTCTGTCCACTGAAGACCATCAGCTCTCCTCTTTAATGACTCGTGTCTCCTTCATGCACATATTTTATAAAGAAGCTCTTCTATGTTTAAATTGGTAATAAGTTTCGCGCGTCCTGATGATGGTGGCAGCAAGGACCTCTGAAACGTCCACAAACTAATGCTAGACTATAAGGCCCTACAAGTTGTAAGACGTCAAATCTCACTAAGAAGTTTAAAAAATGCTATCAAAATGGAGACAGAACTTGTTCCTAGTGGCCATAGGCTCATGCCTTAAGTTATGACATCCGTATTTTATTGGTCACTGGCTTTGGTGGGCTTTGCCCGTCGTCTGGATCAGGTGGAAAGGCGAGTCAGTTAGGTTAGGTTAGGTTCGGTTAGGTTAGGTTCGGTTATGTTAGGTTAGGTTAGATTAACTTCTTCAATCACTGAACCACGCGCAGAAAAACAAAAATTAATGCAATTTGTAACAGCCTATAGGCATTTTAGGCTTTGCCATTCTTATTTGTCCCACGAGCTGTTCAGAGGGGCACAGGAAACAAAAATTTTCATTCAATATTGTTCCGCAAGTCGTCGTATTTTTCAGATAGACGTTTAACGATGGCTGTTACGTACAGTTCAGTGCTACATGTCTCGTCAACCGAATTCTTCTTGATTTAAACATTCTTATAATATTTAAGGATCATGCCTTTTGGTCAAAGATTTCTCCTCAACATCCTCTCTCAAAGAGTCTTTCATTAATTTGAAAGAACAAGTTTCACGCCCATACAAGACAACAGGTAAAATTATAGTATTATATATTTTAACTGGAATGTAGTTCTTTAAAATATAAATGATTTTCCAACTATAAAAAGTTTTACTTTATTTACATGCTTACTGAATGCATTACGTTCATTGGTACGTCGTCTTGTAGGCAGAAAAGATACATTGTATTGACACATGTACCTAGCCCACAGGCTATCGTTAGAAGTGAATTAAAAATTGATTTAACTGTTACTATCCCAGACCTGACAATGACGTGATTTCCCGTTATTTTACAGTCTATTATGCTGGAAAGTGATTTGCAATGTAACTACAATAAAAAAAACATCCGAACAAGTCTGGATGAATCTTATTATTATTTATTATAGTCTGAAACAGTCACGTTTCATGTCGTTAGCTAATTTATTCCTTACCTACACAAAAGAGCATAATCTACTTAAGTAAGCAGCACGATGGTCTGTCAGTGGCGTGTGCAAGACTGGATGTCATTATGACTGTCCATTTATACGAAATTATAATTATAAGGAATTATAATTTAACGGGGCTCGACATTTTTAGCTGACGCCTGATTTTCTAAGGAAAGATTGGCTCATGTTATCAACACATTCGATCTTCGCTGCTCTCCTATCCAAGAAATCTTACTTCGCTCTAATTTGGTAAGAACATCATGAAACTAGAAACGACACTAGCATTATAATTGTTGAATTACTAAGCAGAAAACTAATTAACTAACTAACTAACTAACTCCTCGAGACAGTATCTAGTGACCACTCAGTTGAAGAAGAAATTTATCGCTTTTATGGAGACGAAAATTATATTGCCGTGTTCTCAAAAGGACTGACACCTATCCAAAGTCAGATGATTCCAAATTTTCTAACAAAAAATGTACCGGTATATTCTGACATTTGTTGAACCCTGAAATATCATGTTACAAATAATTTGGGGGGGAAAACATGTAACGTTTGTAAAACAACAACACACGGTTAATTATAAAACTACGCTTAGCTTTTGTTTTTATACAGATGAACATCGTGAAAAAATCTTACGACTCGTTGATATACACGAATATGACTTTCATGAAAACAGTAAGAAAGATGGAGACGACGCGAAATTTTGAAGTCATAGCCTACGTGACAAATTCAAATGTCCCTAGTCGTTATCTGTGCCTACTGGAGTAAATTACGCACAGGAAAGCGTAGGCATAATAATCATGTTATTTATTGTTAGTATCTTATTTAAGATTATGAAAGTGTGCGTCGTTAGTTCTTGAAATAGTTTGTCCTGAGATCAATAGAACTGCATTATTTCTTATCTGCACGCATTGCGTGTAACGGGAATATATAGCAAAGGACAAATGTCAGGTTTTTGTTAAACCAGACGAAAGCTGACATTTGCACAAGTACAGAAAATTATCGTTGGGTGGGAAAGTCGAATCTGCCCGTCCACGTGCTGTATTTCTATGGCTTAATAAGCAGATTTAATTAAACGTGGTTTTGGAAGAATACACACCATGAGAAGGGGAGGGGAAAATTCATTTTTCTGCATATCGTGCCGCGCTCTAAGCAAGTTCAAATTAAACTTTATCAAATTATTGCTTACTGTGTGTATAAAAATTAGCATATAACTTAACGTAAAATACACGCGGGACTAATTATTTTTATAAATTATACTGTGATAGACCTAGGGCCTATCTGTTCTAAGGAATAGTCCTTACACGACCGGTTTTAATTCGTCTCGGTTTGTAGACCGTCACCGGGTGTCATCAGGGACGAATCGTTCATGTCAACCGCGTTAGCCCGGCTAACACTTCGAAATCCGAAAAAATAAAACGTCTTCTGTATTACTTCTCCTGCTGCAATTTTTGTGCATGTACGCTGTTTCCTTCCGGATACTCTACCCTAACCAATAAAGACTATTTATAATCCACAATATAAATAAAATATTAATACAACATAGGCTATTTCTATTACACTGCTACTGAGCATTAGAATTAATTTATTCCTTCATCCGGACATGCTCTCTTTTCTATAATCATCTTCAGCTAAATTCCAATACCGAACAAAATTATATAAACAGAAAATTAATTTTCAATCAGACCAATTACAGGTAAATTTACATTATTTTTTCGCTCTGTATTTACGGAACAAGAGATGTTTCCATCTAATAAGGGGCTGATTCCGTTCAAAATCAGCTTCTGTTTTGTTGTAATTTAATATTTTACGCTACCAAATGCTTCATTTCGTCTTTTGATGATTTGGCTCGAGCCACGAGTTTAACCTAAAAACACATAAGGGTTTGGCCGGTCTGGTACTCGTTACCCAACCAACCGACTGCATATACTTCATTGCAGAGTTCTCATTCCTGGCCTTGTTAAAACAAACATGTCAGTTTTACGAAAACTTCGTCTTGTATTCGGATAAACACGAATAACAATCCTTGATACAGCCTAAAACAGAAGGGCGGTTCCACTAGAGCGTCACTGGTCACGGTCTCATGCTATTTACTCTCGAAAGTACTTCCGTTTTCAACTCAAAATTGCGAAATACCTTCGTGCCTTCGAAACAAAAATACATTTACTCAACGTTATTAAATTCATTCCCGTAGAAGAAATCTTTGGAATCGGAAGAATACGTATGAAATACAGAGTGTTCAAAAAGAAACACAACTCATTTGAAGGTGCACATTTATCAATAAATCAAATCGGTTGAATGTATTGGACATTATGATTTGTATATAAGAGTAACTACACGACAAATCATGTTATCGAAACGTCTCTTTTGATATACCGATTACCGTACGCCAAATGTCGACCTGTAGCCCATCTTGTGTTACGAGTGTTTTTTGAATACACAGTTGTTTAAAACAATCTCATAAAATAAATAACGTGCACTAACGTCTGTAGAGCTAGCCGGCCACAATCCTTTTGAAATAAAATGCCCAGGAAACAGACTCCAACGACTGCGATTATTTCTGAACACACTGTAATATTTTCCCCGAGATGCGCTACATTTTATTGGACGCAGATAGAAGCAAGGAGTGCACAGAAAAGGATTCCTTTCAAAGGTATGCGAAGACTGCAATTCAAATTGTTATGACAAACCGTTTCAATGTGTGCTTGCCCTAAGACGGAATCGATTTAACATTTTCTTAGAAGCGAATTTGCTTTCAGAACAGACACATAGTATGGAACTTGGGTGATTTTCGTAAAATTTAACGAATTGAATCAATGATAATATATTTTCGTACAAATGTTTACATCTTATTTTATGTACTGCTGTGGCATGGATTTCTGCTTAAAATGGTCAGATGGATAAAAAAACACGCAATAATAAACACAGATTATTCACGTTCCAGACGACACACACATACACACGACGATATTGATAAGACTATTACAGTCTTCCATTTTCATGGGGGACAACCGTGTGAAGTCGTTAACCACACTCCCAATCTACTGTTTATTCAATAAATACGCGACTACCTCCCATATCTGGATGAATCTCTTCGATTTAGAACCCAAGGTCATGCCATATTGTGGTGGGTATGTCTTATCACTCTAACTATTGTTACTGTATCTAGAGGTTATATATTTAATTTAATTATTATTCAGCAGGTGGCTGCACATATCAGAAAATCCACCTATCACATCGATTGTGATTTTGCAGTATGAAACAAATGAAGAAGGAAAAATTAGACACTATCTAAATTAAAAATATAATGGAAATTATTACTTTACTTCGTAATTAATGTAAAGCAAGAAAAGTCCTTTGCGCGTAATGGTATTTCTGGAAACATGTGACATCACATAACACAATGTGACAAACTTAAAACTAAATACTGCACTATTTAGGCAAAAGATGGCAGAAGGTGCTTTGCATTTTCTTCTACAACATGTGACCATAACCAGCAAATTATCTGTAACACAGCTGAAATTCCAGAAGTAGAGTTTTTAAAGAAATCCTTTTATTTCAATTTAAACAATTTCACTTATCTTCCTGCTTCCATCTTATACCCAATTCAGACACCACGATTTTAAAGCAATATTTTTCTTAGACATTGTCTACACTGTCTTTGCTGCAACCACACAAACAGTAGCGTGCACTATGTCTGTTGCTATAGCAGGGAAAGCTATTTACAGCAATTATTTACAAATAATGAATTTATAAACACCCACAGATCCTTGTCACACTTACCAAATTATGTACATGCATGATGGAGAAATTGTAAGATTTTTTCTTATGAAAATAACTCAAAAACACATTCAGAAAATTATATATTAAATGTACATGAGCAATGATTTTGTCTTTATTTTAATATCTAAGGTGAAGGTTATGAAGAAATAAAGTTGTTTCAAAATATTTAAATGTTTCCAAGCACATTCTTTCTCATTTAATTTTCTCTTCTTGCAACCCTGGATTGGTCCACGGTTCCTTGTAACTTTGCCACACTGAAGATGAAGAACGTCCCTGGATGTTCCAACATATACGTGCAATTGTTTCCAGTATCTAAACATTTCTGAAGAAGCACTCAACAACCAAAAGCACATCACGGAGAACAAGAATAAATAGTAGCGATGTGACGACAACACAAAATAAATTGTTGCCGACCGAATTTCAACGAGACCCCTCCCACTAATTCAAGGGTCATTCAAACTTGACCCAGAGCCTTCAATGTTTCTTGATGTCGCCAATGGCTAGAAACACGTTCTAAAATTTGCAAGTACGTACATGTAGGGAGGGAACACTAAAATTATTCACTGGCATACTATTACAAAAATCCTGGGCCAAATTTGAATTTCCTACACAATATATAATGTGCTGGTTAATTTCTTTGTAAGAGTTAAAACATGCAATTTCTTGCCCACTGGCACGTATAATATTAGTTTTCAAACTATTATTAAGGAGGAAAAATAATATAAAACCCATTTACTCTTCTCGCTTATCACATTCATCCAACGCAGATTTATATTTATATTTCACGAATCAAACGGCAGACAAAAGGAACTGGTAATAAAATTCAGACTACACAGAACAAAGTGCTCGTGTGTTAATAACTAAAAAAATGTGTTCAAATACTAGGCTTGAAACTTCAGTCTAAAACCATGAAATCTGGAAATACGTAAAAAATTCTGCCCTGAACAGTACGTCTTTAAGTACAGACACCAGAGAACGAACTTGAGACAAAACACACAGCGACCTTCAAAATCATGTCATCATTTAACACCCAATTTGACATAAATAAATCAGCAACATGAATTATGAGTTCTCCATTATTTAATATTAAAACTTCCAGAAACTTAAAATGTTGAAACCATAAATTTTAAATTCAAAGAAATGATGACAGATGCTCGTATGAGACGTATTTTGTAAACGCCAGACGCTCCGTAGCCAGTCACGGTGGCCGCTCGGTCCGAGGCAGGGCCTCGTGCGCTTGGACCGTGGGTTCGAGTCCCGCTCAAGGCACGGATGTCTTTCTGTGTTGTGCTGTCCTATGAAAAAATGCTAGAACATGTCTGGAGTGATGTAAGAATGCAAATCTTCAATGTATCCATCACCAAGGAACAGTAAATTATCATAATGCATGTAGGCGATAAGAATGGCTAATTAAAAATGCTATTAATGTTTAAACTGGAGACAAATGTGGAGATTATAATAAAAACTGTGTTGATAACTATGAACCCAGATTCATAAACTAATAACGCCCCAAATCGAAGTCAATCCAGTTCAAACTAACGCATCTCATGACTTTCAGCTTTCGATGACTAAATGAAGTTTTGTAAAAGATCACCCATCATCAGAGGTAGGTAAAATTGCACTTTGGTTTTGTGGCGAGTGTCCTTCGTCTCTATGTGCCTCCGCTACGACTGGCAACTAGCGTCGCTATTAATCTCGCACATCTCGGAGAAAAGGTCCAGCCAGACGACGCACATCCGCTGCCAGGAAGGCAGCACAAAAAGGTGAAGGAAGGAGGAGCAACTAATAATATATTATAAACCAGCCTCTACACTACTGTGGCTAATGTTTCTTCCAAAATGGACCTCAGTTCATATTTCGTAGTAACAAATGTTTACTGGGATACAAACAAACAAAGTTGTGTAACATACATACCAGTTATACAATCAGACTATACAAAATACTGAGAGTAGATAATAAATGTATATTGCATTTGAGACTACACTGCATTAGAGAAGAATGATATGTAGTAAAATATCACACGTTAACTGAATTAAGGCTCTCGGGCACAGACATCCATTCTTCAAACGCTACAATACTTTTTCGTTTTCAGGAAGAGGCCTGAGACGGTCATTCCGCACTTATGGCCAGATACATAACAAACTTAAGACGTAACCTCACAAACATGGTCAAAAACAAAACATACGTAAGCGTAAATAAATTTATAAGGACTAGAACCGTACTTAACAAACAGCCCGATGGCACCCCTCGGAAAGGCACCCAGAGGCGTTTTGGACATCACGAAAAAGAGAAAAATATGAATTATCCTACATGTAAAATTTACATTATTCATTAACTGCCATGTAGACAAAGTTATCCCATGAGCGAGACATAAATGCTAGATGTTAAACATTAACGAACAGCTTAATTGCATTTTCTGGTGCAGTACCTATGCCAAAATGTGTATGACGACAATATGGTAAATAATTATAATGCACGAAGGACCTGAACATGCCAAGATAAATTAATTAGTATCAGGAGTGCGAACGGGGCATAATTTAAGGGCTTGGGGGTGAGAAAGTGCTATGCCACACATTTCCTAAAACTGAGTTGCTACCCAAGGGCCATATCAAAATGCGGATTCACGAGGACACCGACCACAAGAAAACAAATCAAAATTAAGACAGGACCTTCTTCCATACTGTGTGAGATATTATATAAGATTTTTCTGTAAAGTGGAAAATGATAAGCTGCAAGGAATACAATTAAATAAACAAACAAAATATAAATACAGCGCTATTTTACGATGACCACATAATTTTTCAGACGGAGGAAGAGATACTCAGGATGTATGGATGACAGCCAAAGCCTTGACAGAGAACAAGGATGATAAAATGCATCATACAACATGCAACTAATATTTTTTGTGTTGTGCAATCATTTTTTCTTTGTTTATTCAGGATATTTATTAAACATTTTAACAATAAAGGCATAGATTAATGTGGCACAGATCTAATATTTATATTTTGCTTATTTTTATTACAAGACAACATTAAAGAATGCAGAATCACACGACACCAGAGAAGAAATCGGAAGGTGAAAAAGTCTCCATTAGACAAACAAAGAGCATGAAGAGAAAAATTAGATGACATGTGACAAAGCTACGTCGCAGTTACACCCAAAATGCGAACGCAAGAAAAATATCGGGAACAAATTGCTGATGGAGAAGAAAATGCAACGAGTAATGATTTGTGGGATAAACAAAATTTAAATTCGCAAGATGTTTACTTGCGCAAAGTCTACTTCTTCCAAAAGAATGCGAAAAAGTGCAAAGATGCGGACATATCCTGACAATACTGTCATATACATGGTGTTCAGAAAGTCTCCGCGCAGTAGACACGCAGTTGCAAGTTTACAACTTGGTTAATTTTTGTCTATGTGGCGGCACAGATTTAACATAAATTTATTTCACCGTGATTCAACTTCATTCTAAGTTCCTGTACATCGACAACTGCCGTTCTGACTGGCAAGTAACTTGTTCTTGGCTTTATGCTTTGTACTCCGAGTGGTCGTTACGAAGACGCCAAGTAACAGATGATTTTTAAGCCTATATTTTTGAAAAGACACGCATGTCGACTGTTTATGAAATAATGCGGTGCAGTACAAAATATAAAGTACATTAAAAACATGTATTTTATTTATAATAACGTGTTCAGTAAGAAGAGAGGTCTGTAGCAACAAATGCCAAGCCACAATTGCAAAAACAGACATATTATGTTTTTGTTCTTTTGTTAGAACTTGTATAAAGTTACTAGTTGCAAGACTTCCTATATTAAACAACCAATCGGTATGCGCAAAAGACAAGCAAGTGGCAAAGTACTTTCTCAACCTCAGCCCTTCATCACGCTTCTTAAAATCAGACCTTTCAGAAGTAGGATAGTTCAGGATATTACAAAACAGTGTTTTTCCATCTTAAGGAGTTTTTCCAAACATATTTTTATTTTGGATTAGTATTTTATATTTTTTTGTGGGGGGGGGGGGCAGATTCTATTCTTCCATCTTATTTTCCAATTCTTGTTCTGTACTGCATTGTATAAAATCTGTTTCTGTCAAAAATTGTCTTAAAAGCGATCATGACAAATGGAAGGGTTAGTAAATACATGACATAAACATGGATTAATAGCCCCCATGAGTGTGATGGTATTCTATGCTAAATACAGAATATGTAGTCAGCAAAGCATCATCTGTACCTGGCCTGTAACAGCTGTCACAAAACTGCATGCTTCAAAGGTCACAGCACAATCACACAACGCTGCGCACTAACAGCAGAGATCGGGCGAGACGAATGTTTTGCGAGACTTCTCACTTCAACATGCTGTAACATTTTAATTTGCAACGGAAACAATGAGATATTTTGATTTATTTCATTTTTAATTTCTTCATTAACATAACAGTAACTTTATAATGCATTTGAAAACGCATTTTATTATTTTAATAAATGAAAAATCTTCCCTGTATTTCAAATTATTCTTGACTGCATACACTCTGCCAAGAATTTATACTCTATGCATCTTACAACCTACATTCTGCCTATGAAATGAAGCTAAAGGTTCAAACTTTACATTTACGAAAACCATTTCAGTTATCTTTTAGTTTATGAGAGAACGCAAAGTACGTATGTGTGTTGATCTGGGGCCTCGTCACATAAAACAACTAAATTGTTGGCTTGTATATTCTCTTACAGCCACTTAATATTAATTTATATTACTGAAATGTTCATGAAAAACTTGTAAATAGTTCTCTAATTCTAATTCTAATTCTAATGGCAGATTCGCCAGCTTTTAAGTTGTTATTCTCCATCACCACATGAAAAAACAGATATTACGAACCTGTGGAAAACAAATAAATTAAAATTTGCAGCACAAAAATGGCATTACAGGAATATGTGACTGCTTGCTTAAGATTGAAGACAGTTCACAACTCGCAGTGCAGCAAAGCTAGCAACGCTATACTGACGCAGTTGTTTGGTAAATCGAGTTAAGTCCTTCTGTGGACTTGGGAGTATTGCAGTTTGGTGATAGCCACTACAGCCGACAATAAATGCAGGTACATGTTCTACCTAGGTGATTATAATTCTTCACCACGTTATTATCACACGTTTCGTTACAAACGGGAAAAATTACTAAAAAAAAAAATCAGCAGAATCCTCAAAGAACAGCATCCATGTGCTCATTTTCTACTTCCACACACCACACATTTATAAATACCTTCCTTCCTCATTTACATTATACACAATTATTTTCTGCACACCATATTTCATTGTACAATTCAATAACTCTCGCATATGAAAACGTAAGTTCCCATTTACCAGTAATTCACATATTTAATTTTTATACATAAATAAAGATATCAACAAAAAATTCAATCAAAACAAGAGCCTCAAAGGGACACCAGCTGGTACAGAATTCAAAGCAAGCAGCGAGATATTACATCGGGTCCGATTCAGCAAAAATCATACCCTGTCACTGCTAGACATTGCATAATCTGCAGTTTGAACTCGCAGCTATGAAAGGAACACAAAAGACACGTGGATGAAATAATGTGCCGTGCTGGGCCTATATAAATTTTCAGACAAAATATTTTGCTTCTACAGATGGGTCAAGGATACCGATATATTTCATGATGGACCATTTAAAAATCTTTCCCCAAATCATGCATGCAACTTTTCATAAAGAAAATTCTAGGGAGGAAAATTGTAAATTATGTGATAAATACAGAATACACATAAACATAACTCCAGCTACCTCCCCTCCCCAACGAAGTACACACACGTGCATGAAAAATCACATGAACAACTACTCATAACGGTTCACTCGATTAATGGAATTTCCCAAAGCCAGAAATACTTCTTTTCAGGCACAAGCAGGCATTTACTTGTTTCAAATATATTTTAGATTCACATGGTTCAATATGACCACAAACAACAAAAATAAAAAGTTAATTACTGTTAGTTAGACAATTATTTATTAAGTTACTTTAGAACGCTGCGTAAGCTACTGAGGTTCTATGGCATCAAGTATGGCACAATGACGACGAAATGGAAGAGACGTGGCAGGAAGCGCTCATGGCATATTTTAAGGTACTACGCAGTCTTCACCTGGAAGGGACACGGAAAACTCTAGGACAGGACAGACATTCCAGCTTAATGTAAGACGCATTACTATTTGCATTATGTCAATTTGTTTAGTTTCGTGGTTACGTACATAAACTTAAAATAATGAAGGGACAGCGTTACAAGGCATGAAGGTTTACAACTACTACTATCAATGGAACCTGCAATTCTGAAACAAACGACACAATATTTCTGTAAGCAAATGTGAATCGAAAATACTCGGCATCTTGCATGATTTGTAAGATGCCCTAATACATGTCTACCACTCCTACAATAACAATACAAACCATTCGCTAACAAAATTTCTCCACACACACACACACAAACAAACAAACTGTCTGGAAACATACAACACGTCACAGGGTGAGTAACGAAGGAGAACCCATAATTCAAGCTACATCTTGACCAACTACAGTTACCATTTAATGAATGGATGGATGGATGTCAACAAACTGCCAAGGTTTATTACTGTGCTTGTGCAGATGATTGACATCATTAATGCAGATATGTAAAATTTTCAACATATATTGTTCATCTTTAAATAAACAGCTCAAGTGGTCTTAGGTCATCAGTGAACATTTATTTACATTCCAATATGCCATGCTATTGTCCGTAAATGCCACAGAACTTGGCCGTGTAGAGATGAAAACAAGAATATGGAAAATTCATATTTATGACTTACATAACAGAAAGATTCAAAATATTACAGAAGAGGGCACGGGTGCAGACAATAAAAATTTGAGCAATTACGGGTTCCTATTTTGCTTTATATATATATATATTTTTTTTTTTTTTGCATTTTGGCATATTTAAATTTTCAAAGTAAATACTAAATAAATATTGCACGGTTCATACGGGTAACAACCTGTCACACAAAGTTACATCAATCCATTCATATGTAACTCATGCAATTTTCAAAATCCTCCCAAATTATTAACCCCTTCTACTCTAAAATTAGTTTAAACTGGCTATTCTCTTCAACTGTAACAAAAGAATGAATTACATAACAAAGAATAATTAGCACAGGGGTTAGGCTTGTACTGACAAACAGCATCTGAATACATAAAAGTAAATTCTATCAAATGTATCCCGGGCATTGACACGTAACAAGTGAGATTACAAAGTAAAACTGGTATTCAACTGGTAAAATCTACTGAGCTACAAGTCATCAAATGTGACTTACCACTAAAGTTGTTTATCTCTTAATTTATGTAGTTTTTATTAAAACTACTATCACCTGTAAAAATGGACTCAAGCTAAATTAAAGGGGAAAAAAAAAAAAAATTATAGACTAGATAAAGCTGCGACCTAGTTTCCAGCGCGAAAGAACACCAACTCGACAATGTCAGCACACTGGTGTATCCAGGCCGCAAAAACATGCGATGCATGCCTGTATGTGTACAAATGCATTATCACAACAAATAAATAAATAAATAAACAAATAAATAAATAATGCAGTGATCAGAATATAACTGTCTGATCTGCTACTTACAGCTTGTTACGAACATATCAGTTTCTTTGCTACATGAAGTTTCAGTTTTGAGCCTAAATGCAAAACGTCATAGAACAAGATTCTCAGGCTGCGAGCCGCATCAGGTGGCCGAACAGCGAACAAACCGATTCTTCTGCCGACATTTCGAGAACAATCTCTGTTCCCATCGTCAACGTTTGTCACTTAACAATCACAGAGAATAAACTCTCAGCATTATTTTTTTATAAAAATGGACTGACATGCAAATAGGTTCCACATATACTTTGAAACTGCAACTTTGGATTAAAATGCATAATTAAATACATGTATAATACTCGTATTCATTTACAAATATGGATATAATTATATAAATCATTTAAAAAATGTTTGTAACAATTATATTTTCATTTTTAATTTTAATTATACTTTCCCTAGCAACAGATATAAATTGCCAAGGCTGACGCTAATTATCAAATCAAACAGGTAGATTTTTTTTGTAAAACCATGGGAATCCTAACATTGCTATTTACGCACATTGTAATATACGAGCAGAATTACAAAATTTAAACAGGTGCATAGTTGTAACTATGACCATATATCAGCCAACAGTTATTGAATGTGTCTCATAAATAGCCACGTGGTTTATTCTCGCACTAAGAACTAAGACATGTTGACAAAACTGAAATTATACTACGTACATAAAATAAGTAGAACTTGGTCATTAAGCACAGAATTCTAAGCTCAAGCAATACGACGAAGCAACAGATTAATCGGACAGCAATATTCTGATTCACTGCAGTTTGACTTCACACCTCAGAATCAATAGAAACTGTTTGTAATCCTACAAAATGCTATAAAGCGGCATGTTTTAAAAATAAATTATACTTGTTCAGGGAAAAAATGTGTTTCTATCATATCCAAGCAATATGCTTTACTAATAATTGACTAGTTCAGCTCCCAAAACTGACACAGGGGGACAAACCCAGGAACTAGACAGAGCTGATGCTGCAGTAAATAAAACACAAATAAATACGATTAAAATCTCTAAATAAAAACAAGTAAAAGATCTTAACCTTTTCTTTGGTATGGGATTAAGCCTCCAATTCTCCTTTTTGCCTACATTTTTACACGTAAATGTAAAAGAATCCATCAGATGGATATGTAGGCACATGCTGGCTTCACTTACCACGCTGGGCCGGGCCCGAACGCCCAGGTCCATAATATACATGCAGCATTGGCATTCGCGGTAAAACAACAGTGACGGTCACGTACTTTAAGGCATTTTCCAGCTGTTAAAAACAGAATATGAAGTAACGGCATCAAAGGGGCAGAATAAAGAATACTTATAACCCTTCAGCATGAAGGAATGTCCCTACTTTCTATACTTTTTAAACATTATTGATGAATATTCTACCTGTTCACGGCATTCTCATATATCTAATTCTTTAATCATGTAAACAAAACGTATCACGCACTAGATGGAAGTTCAGTATCTATTAACTTTTAGCTGAATACCAACTACATCAAAATTCTTGACTCTCTAACACAAACATGGCTCCGCCTGCACTGAAGGGTTAACAAACGCAATTAATAGCCTACATAAAAAATTCTGGGCCAGTGCAATATTTTAGAACAAATATACACCAGACCGACGCTGCATCTAGATTGCCGAACTACTCTGGCCCAGCCACTCCGAGCAGCAGCTGGCAAGCGGAGAGAAGCGAGACGAGAGAAAGTGCAAGAGAGCAAGTTTAGTGAGGAACTACTCGGGCTTCCAGCGATGATCACGCTGTCGCTGGGACGCTGAGCCGGAGCCTGCAAGCACCAAGCCTGGGGATGCCTGGGCCACAATCAGCTGCTCTGTCGGAAAGTCCAGAACCACCGTCATGTGGAATGCCATGTTTGCTGACGCGATCAGGTACTCGCAAAAGGAGAACCAGCTAAATGCTGCAAACAGACACACCAATACAATATGTTCCACCCCTTCCACTGACTAACAACTGCTTTACTTTACAACACTTCATAAATCAGAACAGCAAGAGCAACCTATACATGCATGAATATGACAAATCGCCAGACAATGACAGAGAGGGGGGGCCAGACGATAATTACAAGCAATTCATAAAAGATATCTAGTTAAGTATATGCAGAGTTAGTTAAGGCCCCCAGTGTTTTTTTGGCCACTACGCAGCTGAAATGTTAGATGCGCAAAATAATTTACAAAGTATTGCTTATAATTTTAATAACATAGTTGGGTTTTCGATCTTTATGCAGACAATACAAATAATAAATTTTTCTTCTGAGGTACGCTGCTTCTTTTTATTCTATGATACTGTGTATACTGTAAGATTATGTAGTATCAAATGCGGGAAGGAAATAATTACATGTGGTTCTGAACAGAAAATAAGAAAGTGGCACGTACGTACTTCAACGTACTGTCAGCATTCATACAGAATCAGGACAAATGGTGTTCCATACGTAACGCATAATAGTTATTTTTCATATTATAAAAGTACAGACTTACCCATATCATGGCACAGAAGGCGATGTTTAAGAAAAAAGACACAAAGTCCAACAGTGCTCACAATTGAAGTTGCAAACAGACACTTTTTTATTAAATATGAGTTCCTCTCAGAATCACTCATATTTGGTTTCACCAATTTGAAGACTTTGATTGTGGCAAGCATGTAGCTCAGTGACCCAAACATGAACACCATGAAGATTTTCTCATGTACAGCTGGAAATGTAAAATAACTTTCTTTAATACTAGTCCTAGTGAGCAAATACCAGAATAAAACAGTAAAAACAACTGTTCGAGTGCAAGCAACAGGTGTCCTTCAACCAGTACGAACAATGAATCGGTAGCTAACGTGAAAACTGCGAAGGTAAGGTGGGGGGAGGGGGCAAAGTGAGGCAGCCTGGAGGGGGAAAAGGCCTGCGGTGATCCAACCCATCATGGATGAAGCCTTGTGAGGATAGAAAATGGATTTCCAAAGCTGCAGACACACAGAGCAGGAGGCCATGGTCCAATGAAGCAAGAACGCTGGGGAAGGGCCAGAGTGGCAAAGCCCCAGGGGTCAAATAAAAAAATCCCAGTTAGAACTAGGCATGTGGGCCCAGTCATCCTGAGATCTGGATCATCTAAGTAAAAAATGGAAGAGGCAAAGCGTGTTCAACCTAGTGAACTGTGCATATTTTGAAGGAATCTACTTGGGAGGGAAATTACCTTCCACTCCTGTTAAATACAGCGTTTTTCTTTCAAAGATGCAGTCTTGATATTATTCACTACGCCTTGTATAACCATACCATTTCCAAGGCCACCCAAGTGACCACAATCCTAATTTTTCTTTCAAAGATGCAGTCTTGATTTTATTCACGAGGCCTTGTATAACCATACCATCTCCAAGGCCACCCAAGTGACCACAATCCAAGCAAAATTTACCCACAAAAATTATGTATGCATTTCTGGACTATCTCATCTGATCTATGACACACACACATACACGAACACACACATGGAACAATAAATATTCTTTTTACTAGGACGTTAATATTTCCAACATCTTGGAATAAGGGATGTACCTAATACGGTATGCATTTTTTAATACATACGATAGTTTTCCCTGTTAGAGATGTAGGTAACACCACAGAGAGCGGCGATCTCGACAAGGCTGAGCCAAAATGCTATGTTTAGGAGCCAAAAGCCTCTGCTGCCTGGGTGACTAGGACCTGGAGTCTGTGAAGACAGCAACGAACGGTAATAGGTGTGGTACATCGATGCAATGATAACGCGTGGGCCAATATGGAATGCGACACACACCCTCCACAAGTAGCGCTGCGGACTTATACCTGTGATTGCGCTGATGGAGGGGATAACATTGTACACCTGAAAGATGAAAGCCGCTTTTACCGAGGGGTTCAATATCGTGATACATTCACTGGACGGTGTTTTACACAGATATTATCAAATTTAAAAATAAAACTCTTCTATCAAATTATACATCTAGTTCCTTCAAAGTCTGCACTGTGATCTGCAAAGGTTTACGAAAATAATTTTTTTGTTTATGTAAAGATGTTTTTTATCAGCCATTAGATTATATAGCATTCAACAAGATTATGATCAAATGCAAGTAAGAATTTGGAACTTTTCAATGAAAGATTTTTATATTCAAGAAAAGCATTAAAAACTGTTCACACCTTTTCATCAAATTTTAATACATGACTCAATCAAAATCATGTATCTTCATTATTCATCAAAACATCACCATCATTAATTCCCGTGCGTTAAAGAAGTTGTATCAGCAGCAAAGATATGAAAGTTTTTATGCATGCCTACTTTATTATACCTTTTTTTACCACTCCCTGGTAACGTAGCGCATAACAACTACACGTAGAATTTGACTACATCGCTCTACAACTCAGAAGACTTCATACAGACTATATGTTTCAAGAGGGATGATATCTGCTTTCTTTAGCTTCAGTATAGGCATAAATTGTTACAAACAGCACATAAATAAAGTGGCACAACTACATGGAGTCTTACTCTAGTTACACTGCAATAGTTCCAAAACAGGTGAATTTTTCTTTTTTTAAAGGGGGCAAGGGAATTTTAATGATGATGCACAAATCTTCCTTAAAGGATGTAATTTCACAGGGAATAACCATACCACTGGTGTGACTGACGTTGTCCTCCTTACATAAATTACAATACCAGACGTTAAAGACAGGAGACAGAAAAACGCACAAGAAATACTGGTTTTAAATATGGGTTAAATTTCCACTGCAGTACAAGTTTTTATCTTTTACTTATCAACATACTAATTATATAAAATGATCACTTTCAGTTTTTGACATGACAGTGCATTTGCAAGACACATATTTCAAGTTCTCTCAGATACCTGAGTATGCTTCCCTCACGTATTAAAACAAAACAGACATCCCTCACCACTACATACACGTGCGCGCACACACAGAAATAAATAAAACTCATGATGCTATATGAAATTCAAGCATTCTGTTGGTATTTTTCAAAAAAGTTAAAAATAACACAACTGTATTTTGGGTTACTTGACTGTGCTACATAATTTATATTGCATCAAATGGTGTGATGTGTATAAACGATAAACTTGATAGGATGTGGAAGTGTGAATGATCCATTTTAAAGTAGGATCACATCACTTGGCTGGAGGGATTTATACATCATATCTCCTAAGTTAAAAGCAGGATTGCAAACCACTCAACCATGTCCCGTAACTTAAAGCTTTTTTCTTGCAATATGGTTACTTGAGTATTTTTCTTTTTGCGTAATGTTTTTAAACAGTTGCATAAATACTAACAATGTCTGCAGTTGTAGGACACTAGCAAAGTTTGAGTTTGAACATATTTCTATAAAAAACACCCAAATTTGGTAAAAACTTAGATCATGTTAGTATATTTTAATTTAATTTGGATATACTTGCATGAAAATCTAGTAATCTTAAATAAAACACAAGTTTTCTAAGTCTGAATTGTGGGTGCATGCTAAAGAAGCTCAAGTACATGGTTACTGTCCTGTAAAGTTACCCTAATGTAACACAAATTACATAAAGCACAGAGAACAAATGTACTTTCAAGGGATATTTCCCAACATTCAGCGGTGGACACATGTACTTACTCGACAGTGTGTTTCATGAATGTCGTCCTGCTGGAAGATGTAGGCAGTGACAAAACAAATGAGCAGTGCACACAGTGGTAGAGACACTGTCACAATACAAAGCTGACGAAAACTTATCATGAAAAAAACTGCTGTCTTATTGCACAAAGAGTTCCCTTCCATCTTTTGACTGATTCCCTCAACCATTATGCCTAATGGTAATTTATGTTTTTCTTCTTTCAAGCAGCAGGTAACAGTAAAAACTTTATTATTTCTGTTGCTTCACACTGAACATATAACTGCAAATTTGTTTCCATGATTAGATATTCATCAAAAGCAACCTTTGATGAAATTATCCTTCTTCCTTCCACACCTATAATAAGAGGTATACATTTTAATTTTCATAAAGAGTACTACAAATTACTGTACAGGTGTTTTGGTGGTGTGTTAGGTGATTTGGAGTAAAGCTATATAAACATCTGACAGACATACAATTTCTTTCACCATAATATAAACCAAAAAACTGGCGTATACGAATATCCTTGCACCTTAATGAAATTCACATTCATGCAGTTGGAAAGTGCCACTGTCACAATAATAAGAACCAGACGCTCTTACATTACCTGTAAAACGCCCACGGCAAACACATCTAACATAAAGCAAATAAAATCAAGTTACTGGAAGATCATTGGTGTATGGGCTATGCACAATTGGGATAACAAAATATTCTTGACAGTGTTCATTTCATTCCATACAACATAAAATTAAGGATGGGTGCCTAGAAAAGCAATTATGAGTGTACCGTATATCCATTAATTACCTACTGAAATATGTATTAGTCACACCATCGATGCCATCCACAAAACGTATGTAAATAAAATATTAGCAGTTTCCTCTCATCACCACTGATTCACCAGTTCGGCAAATCCCTTTCGCACGAACCTATTCAGAAATATCCGAGCGTTTCAGATAAGTTATATTGAGGTGCGTTCTAAGTCAATTAGCTGGTCCGTATTCCAATTCACTTTCTGAACATTATACACGGTCCATCTATTAAGAAGAGAAGAAATTCACTTATTGGACCCTGGTACTTCGTGAGATTTACAAAATTACTTTTTTACTGTGGAGCAATCGACGGCCGTTTTATATTCCACATCTGCCAACATAGCAGGGCCATGACAAAATATCGAAGTTTGTTTTCTCTACCAGGCAGTTTAGCTGTGATTTAATAAGCACAAATACACATCATCAGAGACGGCAACCGATGGTCCGTGGATTGCACAGATAATGTTTTCGTGCATTTATTTTCAACATGTAATGATTTGGTTAGGTGTGTTTATTAGGGTAGCATTGACAAAGTAGTGGAAAACATCAAAATTGGAAAGCAGAAAGCAAACAGTGTGTAAACGTAGAAGTATGTATGGTTTTGAACACGTCATATTTCCACATGTTTACATTTAACACTCGAATAAAGCAACCATGCAATATGGCTAAGCTAACCTAACCAAACCTATCCTTGACGGGGCACTTTTGTGAGAGTGGAAACTGCCTCGGAATGTGAGACCATTCCACGACTGGATCAGCACTGACTTTTTCGTTACCACAGCCTTTCCACATTATGTGTGATAAATATGAACAATTTATTCCTTACCAGAAATATAACACTTTTACTGAGACATACAGCAAAGGGCACCCATCACTAAAAACTAAACCTTCAAGCATACTTTCGTCCTCCTCAATCTTAGACCACAAAGTTGACTGTCATCAGGATAACAACTTGACATCTGCCATTTGTAGGGCTTTCTGTGGTACAAGAGATTCTCAACTGGTGAATATGTTAATTTCCATGAGCTACAGACAGAATTAATTCTTATTTGTTTAATGACTTCATAGCTCATGATTAGCCTGCCACTTTTGCTACCAATCCTCAAAGACCACCCATTCTCAACAGAATTGTGATTCATACACAAATGTCAGCAAAAGGTTTGAAGATGTGGTTCGTACCCAGTTCTTGGTGGTAAATAATCAGGAACTTTTCCACATCTCTCAGTGTTATAATGTCGCCTGAATATTCGCTGTATTGCTATCATCAGGTAATTTTTTAAAAACATCTCTATGGAAAATGCAGTGGACCTCTGTACTACATAAATCAAAAGAATGCTGCCTCACCCTATACAAGGCATGCTACTTTAGTGAATTTACAAGACTTTAAACGAGGTTTAAGGTTCTTGTTGGCATTCCAGATTTTAAAGCTGTGTGTAAGTAGATACCAGCATTTCAGTGGAACATACAGTTTGAAGATGAAGACAGGATGTTCCTATAAAATGTTGGTATCTATCCACAGCATTACAGTTGGAAGACTTAACATGGCACTTATAGTTTCAAATTTGTCAGTGTACCATTTTACTCCAAAAAGTACCTGAAGATGGCTTGAAAATTTCTGTACACATATATAAATATGAAGAGATGAAACTGTAACTAACTTTCACCTTGGTTTCCCCATGTAACATGATTCCATGACACCAGTTTCAAAGACAGACTGAAAAATCACAGTTTGTCCTTAAAGATATCCACAGATCTTACAGTCTAAAACTGGATTTATTGATGTACAAATGTGCGACTAAACCAACCTTTGGCATTCTTAGAGCAAAATTAATAAAATTACAATTATATTAGTACAATATTTCATACTGGAGGAATGTAGATAGCACAGGCATAAAATACTTCAATGTCAGAGTTATGACTGTAATGTGTTTCTTATAATTTTCTCCCTTGGTGTATGTTCCTTCTACTTTCTGTTCATTTAATGTCTTAAGACACTAAACCTGGCCTGAAATTCAGTAATTGCTGAATTGTACACTTTACCAAATTAGAAAAAACATATACTGAGAGATTCAGAGATATTGAGGGGGGGGGGGGGGGGGG